TAATAAACATATAATAATTTTTTTAAAAAATCCACTTTTAAAAAATGTTTTCTTTTGCAACTAAATTATTGTTAAAATATGCATAAAGGTAATCTTTATATCTGACAACGGATGTCGAATCACCAAACTAGGCCTAACAGAACTGATATGTATTGCCCCAGTTTTCCAGTACATTAAGCACAAATTTGTGAAGAATACACTATCTCCATGGTTTTGTCTTTCCAGAACTTGCTGTGTAGAGTGTAGGGAAATAACAATGCAAGCTTTTCTTCTATACAAAATAATACCAGAATCCAATACAAGGAATGTGATAGAAAAGATGGATTGGAGAGGGAGCAAGAAGAAAATCCAAATTATTAGATATCTGCCCAGCAGGTGCCTGTAAGTCCTGAACATGCTATAGCCTCTTTCAGAGGCATGTGGCCTGAGAGGTCTATGACTCCCCTGATTTTTGATGCTGCATTGGTGTTCCATGGAATGTGAAATGCCCTAAGAATATCTATAGAAAAAAAAATTAACATACCTTCCACTACTTCTTGGACAGCAGTTTCATGACCACCAGATTCCCATTTTAGGCTCTATTATGAGCAAAAACCCCATTGATAAAAATGTCTTGATCACTGTCCTAGGTTGGAGAGAGATATAAAGGCACAGTCTGCTCACCAGGGCTTGGCACCAAAAGCACTTCCTTGGTTGAAGAATGGTAGATTCCATAACCTTTCCACTGACTTAACAAAACACCAGTCCACAGCCACATACACATACTTAAAAGGAATTCAGTCTCTTTCATTCTTCCAGACACTTATACTAATTGTGCCTTTTCAGAGGATAAGAAGTCAAATGCAATTTTTTCTTATGGAAGGTGAAAGAAAGCACATGGGTCTAGAAAGTCACCACACCAATTTTTTTAATGAGATGTTCAAAACAGATAAGATTCCACACTAAAAGGACAAAAGGTGATTACAATGAAATTCTGTAATTAGCTAAAGTTGACATTTCAAAATCATCCAAAATTGGAGTATTTTAGTTGCTCTGCATTTTTATAATTTCCAATTACAAAACCATCAGATATCTCTTCAAACAGATTTTCTGTTCCATTTTCAATTTAGCTAGGGGTTGGCAGCTGTGGCCTGTGATCTGCCAAACCTGACCTCACCCTACTCCCTGAGCAACAGCTACCATGTTAGTGACAAATAATTATTGTAACTGACCTCATGCTGAGCTTTGCCAGAAATAAAGAGACACTAGGAAATACAGTGAACAACTCAAATGAAACCCATCACCAACCTGTTGCCTTCTGCACTTTACAGAGTGACATGATCTGGTGGTCCTCCCTGAGTGAAGAAAGCTCTTTGGAAATCACCCTAATCTATTCTCACGTGTCAAAACATATGCAACGAAATGCCTCTTTCATCAGCAGCTTATAAGAGATTATAAGCTCAGAGATTTAAATACATCAAAAATCAGGGGAGTCATAGACCTCTCAGGCCACATGCCTCTGAAAGAGGCTATAGCATGTTTAGGACTTACAGGCACCTGCTGGGCAGATATCTAATGGCAGCTCAGAGATTTAAATACGAGAATGATGGTAGTCTCAACTTCTTATCCCAAGAAACCAAGGAAAGAGGAGCTGAGTTGAACGCCAGACAACACACAAACCTCCAGCTATTCCACACTACTTGATTCTTCCTTAATTCATTCAGAAGCTTGTATCTATTGCCAAATCTCTTATTATAAAAATCCTAAACGTGGGATATGTTCAATATTAAAGTTTGAATAATCTCTCTTAACAAGCTCTTAAGGTAAAAAATTTCAGCTTTTTTATTTTGATGCCAGAAGACTTGTCCTATCCCTCAGAAAGAATTAAAAAATGAAAAATAGATAAGCATCCACAGAGGAAATACAAAGGGATCTGGAGTAATCTAAATACTAAGGAAATAGGGTGGACAATCTAAGTATGCCATGATGGCTAGAGCATCCTCCATTGATGGAAGAGCTGTGGACCAGAAAAAAATTCCACAGCTGTATAAAGGGTGCCTCCCACAACAGACACAGAAAAAAATTCAGAATTTCTTGGATGAATTTAATTTAAAATAGACATTGTGTTTTAATTTTTTAAAATTTCATTCTGTTTCATTTTTCCCCTTTATCTTATCTGCAAATAGAATAAAAACACATCTCAATAGTATCATGTTTTGTTTCAAAGTCACCTGACTTTATTTACACTTTTATTGAGTACCCCAAGAGACTATCATGGAAACATAAGTGACTCATCCCATGTATTTTGCATTTGTCAAAAAAAAAAAAAAAATGAAAACTGATTTTCTCTAGCAATGGAAATTGCAATAAGCCTAAGTTAAGCTCCCTCAAAACAAAAAGTATATGATAATTGAAAATCAATTCACTGTTCTTAAACTACTATGTAGATACTTTGGCACAGAAAAACTATCTATTTAACATTGGATAATTTCATAGCCATCTGGAGTAAGAATAAACCTAAATAATTTAATAAAAATCTCTTTTTATTTCTTTCCTAAAAACCTTGAAGTTTTAAGTTGAAATGAATAGATATATTTAATCCACCTCTTCATTTTACAAATAAGAAATGTGGTCCCCTCGATTAATCAAGCCCAAGCCCACTGGTGATAGCCCCTGTATTTGGTGGTGGCTAAAGGGTAGGTATTTCTAAGGGGTATAGGTAGAGCTTAGACACATGAGATAAGATACCCCTATATGTGCCTGCAAGAACCTTCAATGACTATAAGGGAGCAATGAGGACACAGGAAGCCAGGCTTGGGAAGGGAAGAGGGGCAGGAGAGGTGAACCTCCTTTGCATTTCAGCATGGAAGTTCAAGACATCTGAAAATACTACATTTGAACAAAACATAGGTCCGCTGAGGTAAATCTGGCAAGAAATACACTTTGTCATGGAATATATTTTACTGAATCCTTTGTTATTTTGATTTATAAACTTCCAATATTTGATATAAGGTATACCTGCCTCCTTTTTATACTTTTGTTCTACACCCCACATCTGCTAGGTAGTAACCTAATGAACTTAACTTAGGGAAATTCAAGACAGTGTGCTCAGGCAGAAGAGAAAACTGCTATAGTTCCCCTTATCACTCCTACCAATGAGCACAAAAATCAGCGTGCAAAGATGAGGTTTGAAATCTGCTCAGTTCACAGGTGCCTCTTGGGATAAACTCCTTACTGCATTGAATGTGATTCTCATGGTTCAAAATCCATGTTTCCACACATGAGGGCTCCTAATGTAACTAAGTTCCTCCAACAAGTGCACCAATGAAAAAAAAAACGTTCTTTATAATGAGAAGACAATACCAGTTATGCAGAACTTATTGAGAGTTGGCTTATCCATCTTCAGCATGGCACTTTCCTAGGAAATGCTTATGGGCAATTTTTATGATTCCTGTTTATGATCTTTATCTTATGATCAAACTCAAGAATGTAATACCCAGGCCCAGATATCTTGCACATTTCCTTATTGGAAAACATTAGAATGAACAACCAGCCCTGCAGCTGATTTATAAAACAAAAAGGGAAAATACACACACACACACACACACACACACACACCCTGCACAAAGGGCAGAAACAGATCCCAGTCTCCAGGCTGCTCTAGAAACCTGTCTGCCTCCACATAGGAAAGAGCTCCTTAGATGTGCTCAATGCTGCCACTACATGCTTCCACCCCTAATACACACATGCACACCCATGCACACCCATGCACACACAAAGAGTAAGTTGGCCCATAAGGTCTACAACCACGCATAATCTTGGGCCAACAACTCAAAAGATCCAAACATGCCTGAAATATGGTGCCAGACTGAGTGATGGAGGGCTGACAAGGGAAGGATTATTGACACACGCCACACAAACACACTATCATAGCCTTATTCATTCACACATACTTGCGCATCACACAATTACAGAGTCACAAAAACAGTTCACACACAAACACATACACCAGATACAGAGGCACATGCATTCTAATATATACATTCTCCAGACACATGTCTTCACATACACATAGCCATGTGTGTGCACTCGCTCACAGTCCAGAGGTGGGAATTTTACCTTTAGCCCCCACAACTATATACACTCCCTACAGATACAGGTACTTAGGTTGGCTATGAATCCAGAGGCCAGACTAAGCTCCAGGTGGGCCTAAGGGAGAGTGAAAAGGCAGAGGAGCAGCAGATGTCCCTCTGTCATCCTCCTCTGTAGGGAGTTAGGGGTGAGGAAACCCTGCCTACCAAGGGAGCAGTCCACAAACTCTGACCTGGGACCCTCAGGGAGAGTGACCTCCTGGCTCCTGGAGGTCGCTGGTAGGACTGAGAAGGTGGAGGTGCCAGAAGGAGTCTTTATGTCCCCAAACTGAATCTCTCCCCTTAGCTGAAGGCTAGGACCCTTCTGACAACTCCTTTCAACATCAAGCCCACAACAGTACTGCCAGTCCCCAGGAGCTTCTCTCTCCTTTAAGATCCCTTCACTGAGACCCACACCTATTCCTTCACAAAATGGAGTCCCACCCAGACCCCCCCCCCCGCACCTGTTTGATCTTCACGCTGCATCTGCCCTTTCACACAGCTTCAAGACACCAGAGGCATCCCCCCTTGCCTCTAGCCCCACAACCCCAAACTCGCAAGCCACACCCCCAACCCTGTGGAGATAGATAGATGCCCACAATGATTGAGCCCATCTCTAAGGTGGCGGCTCCAGCCTCCAAGGACCACCTCTAGTGAAGCCACTGCCTCCCCACCCCAGGGGGGCTAAACCCTCCCGAGTAGGTCCCAGCACCTACCTCCTTTTTCAAGGTGTTCTGCAGGCGGCAACTACATGAGCTTTCACTCTCTTGTTCTGGCACCTGTGCTCTTGGAGCATCCTTGCCTCCAGCGGTTCCTGATCTCTGGGGGATGAGGCGACGCTCTGTGCTCCTACACTCCCACTCCCAAAGAGGCTACCAGGGATCCTGTGCTCCAGCAGCTGAGATGGCGGTGGCGGCTCCGTGCTCTTGTGGCTGCACTGGCTCCAAAGGTTCCTGTGCTCTGGCAGCGACAGCATTGGTTGCCATCGGCGGCAGCTGTGTTAGCTGCAACATTTGTGGCCTTGGAGTTTTCGGTGGCATTGCCTCCGCCGGCGGTTCCTGGGGCGTGGGCTTTGGCTCTGGTGGCTCCGGTGCTGTTGGCGTTGGCGGCGTCTCCTGCAGCGGCTCCATTGGCTCCTGTTGCGTTGGCATTGGTGGCGGCGAAACTACAGCCGCTGTAGCTCAAGCGGAGGAGACAGAGGCGGTGGCAGAGGCAGCATTGGCTGTGGCTTCAAAGTTAGCGTTGGCAGCTCCAGTGACAGCTAAAGCAGTGGCCCTTAGTACTGCTCCTGCTGCATTGGTGGCGGCGGCACCCCTGTGGCTATTCCTATGCTTCTGACTCATGAAGGCTTCTGTGGTAGTGGTGGCTTGGAAAAGGAAGCACACTATTAGTTAGCTCAGGTGTTCCGCCTTTACTTCCATTTTCGTTTCAGGAGGCGTGGTGGCACTCAGTTCATAATTTTGGGCCAATAGTGTTGCTCCTTTTTCCAAACACTTATTAGCATAACCGTGAACCAATGGCATTGACCCACACACTGGCTGCAAGCTGCCCTGGTATCTTCCAGGCAGGTCTTTGGCTGAGTGGGCAGAACCTGCTATCAAGAGCTGCTTGGCTGCAGAGGTTTGTCACTTAGGAAGAAAACACTCGCCAGTACAAGCGGAAAAACTCTACTTTCACTACAGGGACGTTTTAGCAAGGTATGTGTACTTCTTCGTATATATTAATACAGATGAGAATACATTCTCTCTCTCTCTCTCTCTCTCTCTCTCTCTCTCTCTCTATATATATATATATATATATATATATATATATATAATTTCACACATTGCTTATTCATAAGTAATTGATTTACAGATTAGATACAGGTGATACGTGATGGCACATACTTGTAATCCCAGTTATTAGGAGGCTGAGGAGGGAGGGTTGACAGTTCAAGTTTCCTTTTCATTTTAAATAACTAATAGAAAATCTGTTTCCAGGAGTTAATCTGTTTTACATAAATTGTCAAATTTGGGGATCAAGTATTGTATTGTATTGTAAAGTATTATATCTTTTTACTGTTAATATATGTGGAGTTATTCAAGGTGTCTCTTCTTTAATTCCTGATAATTGACAATTTTTGCCCCCATCTTCAAACAGTTTGATTAGGAATTTATCTATCATATGTTTTCTTTTAATATTCAGGTTTGTATTAAATTTTCTGTATTCATTTTCTTTTACCTACTTTATTGATTCCGAGTTTCATATTTGTTATATTGTGCCATAAATTGAAATTTTTCTTTTTTTTTTTATCAATGTGACTGCTGAGGTTAATTTTTTTGAACTATTTTCTTTCTAAAAGAAACATTTAATGCTACGTATGTTCCCTGTCAACACTATATAAATGCACTCCATAGATTTTATTACATCTTCAATCTAGTGTAAGTTTTTAAAAATTTTCTTTGTATCTTTTATTCATGGATTATTTAGATTTATGCTCTTTGATTGCCAAGTATTAGGGATGTTATACATTATCTGTCCCTTTCTTGTGTGTGTGTGTGTGTGTGTGTGTGTGTGTACCTGTTGCCCAGGAATGGACCCAGTGTTTTAAGTATGCAATGTGACTGCTGTACCATTGAGCTATTTACCCCAGTCCCCATTATTATTGAACACATACATATATTATATGATATCAACAATACATTTTGATACATTTTGATGTTTGTTTTATCTGTGGTTTAGGTTAATATTCTTTGTGCATTTGAGAAGTGACCTTTTTATTGGTGATGGGATTTTGTTCTGTAAATGTAAATTAGTTCAAGTTCTCTGATGATATCATAAAGATCATAATCTATGAATTGTTGAATTTCTGTGTTGAACAAGTGCTATTGAAATCTCCAACTTTGTTGTTGGGCTTAAGTATATTGCTTATAAGTCTATCATTTTATGTGTTCAAATACTTTAAAAATTTTGGGGAGAACATGCAAATATAAGATTGTTAAGATTTATGGAATGGTTCTCTTCATCAGGTAATGTGCCTTCTATCTCATATAGTAGTTTTTATTTTGAGGTTCATTTTCTCTTACATTACCAGACTTACTTGAGCTTTCTTTTGGTTAGTGATTTCATAATGCAGATTTTCTTCCCATTGCTCAAAAGATAATAAATGATTTTAATTAAATGTCTACCAGTACAGAAATAATCTTATTGTAGTAGGTTTCATTTTGTCCTACATTATCATGAAAATTATTTTATAGCTTTTAAATTTTGAATTCTGCAAATAAAATATTAACATTTCTGACTATGCTTATTAATACAATGTGGGTTGTCTATAGATATAAACAATTTCAAATTTTGAGCTAATAAAATTTCTCTTATGATGTCCAATCATGCTGACATTAAATTTGCCTTTCTGTATTTTGCTGTTTGACATACATTGAAGCAAATGTGTCAGGAATGAAGAATTTTTAAAAATTAAATGTAAATAAAAATGTATGATTTTTATACTTGTGTGTTGATGCTAACAATCTGCTATTTAAGTTGAATATAGTAGTAAAAAGGATAATACTGTATTGGTAAGATAACACAATTTAAAAATAAATCAAAAGGTTATGCAGGTATATTGGGTTGGAAAGTCAAATAAATGAAAGAGGAAAGGTGATAGTCAAGTTTCTCACTGTTGGAGTGAATTTTTTTCTGTCTCTTTAATTTTTCTCTAAATCTTTGAAGATTTCCTTACAACTTTATATGTGTACGTATACACACACATATACACTCACACACTCTCTTATATTCATTCATTCAAGAGAAAGGAAAGTTCTAGAACATATTTTATAGAGAATCCAGAGCAAAATATTTACAGAGGAGAAAAGAAACATTAAAAGCAATAAAAAGGTGAAAGCTTTATTTTTGAAAGGAGAGATCAAATATTTTTAAAATATGTTTTTAGTTGTATATGGACCATTAGTTTATTTATTTATTTATATCTGGTGCTGAGAGTTGAACCTAGTGCCTCACAGGTGCAAGGCAATCACTCTACCACTGACTCAAAACCCTGGCCCTTAAGAAAATACCAAGACTGGAGGAAGTCTTAGGGAGGTGAGCCTTCTGTAGAGTTGCTTTTCACTTAGGGACACATGTTGATTCTGAAGAAAGGTACTTAAAAACAGAGGAAGCACTTTTGCCATCTAAGATTTAAAAAATCACTGCTAAGCTGTAGGCTGAGACCCAAATAGATATAAGCTAAAGAAAGTGGGAAGTCAGAAATTGATAGGCCATTACAGAAGCTATAGTTAAGCTTGTAATCATTTCATCCTTTGAAATTGGAGTGTTCAATTTTCAATTCTTGGAACTCCAAGTCATGTGAACTAGGAAAATCATGTGAACTAGCTGTGTGTGCAATGATTTCTATACTTAGTACTCAAAAAGCTCCTGCATTCTCATGGATGCTCACACAGACATGTACACACACAAAACACAGAACCAAGGTGTGGAAGATATAAAATATTATTGAAAATCAATAGAAAAAGTAAAAAAAGAAGCAAGCCCACAGTTATTGTATTCTAAGACACATTTTAGAGTTTTGTTTAATTTATTTAAAAAGTAAGAAGTACAGTTTGAGAATGACTGCAAACTTAAAATAATAAAAAATCCTAAATGGAAATGCTGCATCTAGCCAAAAGGCAATTAAAACATTTTGTATTTCAGTGGTAAGGATTATTTTAAATTTAAATACCACTGAAGTATAAATTAATGTACATGGGCTGGGGAGTAAGGTTGAGAGATGAAGAAGACAGAATTAAACAGAATAGTACACATTTAATTGGGGTACTAAACCAAAGAGAGCAAAAAAGAAAAAAAAATAACATGTTAAAGACTGAGTAGATGAATAAATGGGGGACAAAATATACACAGTGAGTTATTATTTATCATGTATTTGATAAGCATTAATTTTTATCTGTTTATTGAATAATCTCAACATATTTGATGCTATTCTTTGATCATAAAATTTTATTTAAATTGGGGCTGGGGATGTCACCCAGTGGAGGTGTGCTTACTTAACATGCCTGTTTCCAGGAATTGATCCCTAACACTGAAAACAAAGGAAAAAAGTAACATAGTTTAAAACAAAACAAAATAAAGTATCAGTAATGTTTGAGAGTGATTATGGGCAATACAATAATATCATTGAAAAACCGGGATAAATTTATAAAGTGCCTGCCTTTATGTTTGGCATATGAACAGCATATCCAGTCTTAATACTCTTTATATAGTCTCATTTTATGCCAGTACTTTGACTTTTATCAGCAAATTTATAGAGCCCAAAGAGAAGGTATTGACCACTCCATTCATTAGATATAAAAATATTACATCAATAAGAGAGTACCTCAATTTTATATTTGAGAGTTTTTTGACTAAATCATTATTATTTAAATGAGGTCAATGAAAATCATTGAATTGATCATAGAAATCTTTATTTGCCTCATAAAGAAAAACTCTAAAGAAATACATTATTTAAAACTAAATTTCTGAGTGAAATTCATGAATAATGGTTTCAATATAGAATTCATCTCCTAATTTAACATATCACTTTCCCCCAACTTCCAAATCAATAGGATATTGTGTCACTTAAATACAGTACTTAATTTGTGGTTAGTGCTAATGTTGTGTTGCAGTAAAACTGACACAGAATATTTTCTGCATTTTCCCTACTCCTAGGTTTTTTCCAAACTATTTCATATGCAAACAATGACAAAAAAATGCTAGCATGTTTCCTAAAACTCCATTCTTCAGGCAGAATGGAAAGATAAGTTACTCTGACCATTTTTTTTTCTCTTCCTGTCTACTCTTTCATGAATTGAGTCTGTGTGAAAATAAATCAGAGTGTATGAAATTAACTTGTGCTATTTAATTCTGTCTCCTTCAGGAAATGAAATGAGTTATTAAACCAGAATCAAACTTATCTTATTCCTCTTATTTCTTCCCTTTTAGGAAAACCTTCCTGCAATTTTATTTTTGTATGGATGGGATCTACCACTGAATTTAATCTTCACTATGAGATTAGCATCAAACACTGCTTGAGTGTATTTGACTCATGTTCAATCAGTAACATTTGCAATTCACTATTATTTGTGGAAGACTCCACAAGTTCTAGGTATTTACTGCTGTTGTTTTGAATACACTTAATTACATGAATATCTTCTAATTGTTTTTGCAGTGCCCTACAAAATATTTAAGTGTTTTTAAGCCATTTTTTTTGTGAGTAGAGAATCATTTCACCAAATTCAGAATAACAACTGCAAGGTGGTAGAACAAAGAATTGAGAAATGATATAATAGTACTAAAAAAGAGCTTAGAAATCAGTGTAATTCCTTTTTTTTAAAAAAAAAAAAAACTAAGATAAGGCTCAAATGAAATGTTCAAAGAACTTTTAAAAAAATTTAATGATTTTCTGTATGATCTTCTTTGGATACAAAATCCTGAATTGTGCTAATCTCTACCCTCTTTAGGTTCTTTCTCTTTCTAGACATATTTTTCATTGGTTTCTAACTTCATTCTTCATTACACCTAACATTTAGGGAGTATCTGTTCTATATCATATACTGTTCTAGTCTTTGTGCATACAGAAGTGGGGGGAAATTAAGTTCTCTTTGTCATCTGGGGTTTATATTCTGGTAAGGAAAATGTACCATAACACAATGAATAAATGAGTTGCATA